TACTCAAAAGACCCAAACCCCCTGCCGGCCGAAAACCGTAACAAAAAAGTCGAGCGCTGAAGGCCGTCTGATCTCATTTCTCTAAGCACCCAAACGCGGTCGCAAATCGAAACGCGAACTCAAGTAAACTCAGTACGCCCGTCCCACGAAAATTGAATGCTAAGAGCGCGGCCGCAATTGAGCGCCATGTCGCGCGCTGCAATGATGTCGTCGTTGTCGTCAGCTTCGTCGTCTGCGGCCATGAGAAACCCTAGATTGTCCTTCTTTTCGTCGCCGAGGCTCTTTAACGGAGTGCCTCTCGGGAACCGCGTCTCGTTCGCCGCTCGCTTTCGCCGCACGTCGCTGCGGTGCTACGCTTCTTCCGCTGGCTTCGATAAAGTTCGGGTTCAGAATCCGATTGTCGAAATGGACGGTCAGTTCCCTAATCGATGCTCTGTTTGGTTAGTGAGAAAGCAATGAGAAAATGAACAGAATTAAAATCACAAGATAATGGAAACTTGTGTAAAAATCCTTTTTTTTTTGAACCAGTAAAAATCCTTTATGTTGTTTCATGTTTTCATGAATTTTAGCAGCAACCAAACGGATCATAACTTGTAGGAGTAGGATGATGCTTGTTCTTGAGCTTAATTGTGGATGTTGTGATTGTGTACTGTATTAATTATGGTATTATTTTGTCAATTAGGTGATGAAATGACGAGGATCATATGGACAACGATTAAAGACAAAGTGTGAAGATTCATTTCGATGTGAATTTCAGTTTACTGATGCTTTTGTTGTAGAATTTGATTTGATTTAATCCAAGTTTTTTGCTCGTATGCTCTTGCAGCTTATTTTTCCCTATCTGGACTTGGATATAAAGTATTATGATTTAGGGATTTTGAACCGTGATGCGACCGATGACAGAGTTACAATAGAAAGTGCTGAAGCCACTCTTAAGTAAGTAGTTTGATTCAGAATTTGTTTAGAGTGTTTGTATTTCTTACGTTTGGATTGCTAGTATTTGCTTCTTCTGTTTGTTTGATTTTAACCTTTTATGCCCTGCAGGTACAATGTTGCCGTGAAATGTGCTACAATAACCCCTGGTTAGTTGTTTTGCTTTTGTATAATGCTGTTTTTATGTATTATCATGAGGACGTTGAACCCTTTACGACAGACATTCTGGCTGCTCCGATACTTTTCTTAGCAGTAAGATGATCTATCTGCTCTGCCAGGTAGTTTAAATGTTGTCTTATCTAATTTCAATTTCTCATATATCTTGCAGATGAGACCAGAGTGAAGGAGTTTGGGTTGAAATCAATGTGGAGGAGTCCCAATGGCACAATTAGAAACATTCTGGACGGTTTGTATCTAAGACGTTGTCTCCTTTTATTAGAAAACAAATTTTAATACTCTTAGTTTTGTTACTCATTTTCATTAATAAGATGCAACTTAAGTTAGCATCTGAAGGATACAAACTGTTTGAACAATTTCTAATTGAAATGTAATGCTTTATTTTTACAGGTACTGTTTTCCGTGAACCTATCCTATGTAAAAACATCCCTAGAATAGTTGCTGGTAATGGCTCAAACTCATTTCTAATCTTGAATGTAAGTAAAATGTCGTGGGAAGTGCCCAATATGTGTCCAATTTACAGGTTGGAAGAAACCCATCTGTATAGGTAGGCATGCCTTTGGTGATCAGTATCGAGCCACTGATACAGTTATCAAAGGGCCAGGAAAACTTAAAATGGTTTTTGGTAAGTAAATGTCAACATTCTAGATCATACGATTGTGCTGGTGAAGTAATTTCCCTTGAATATGGTTTTCTGCTTATCATCTATCTGTTTGTAATGCTCAGTCCCAGAAGGAGGAGATGCCCCCGTTGAACTTGATGTTTACAATTTCAAAGGGCCTGGTGTGGCCCTTTCTATGTATAATGTTGATGAGGTTTGTGTTACCACAATGGGCATCACATACCTTTTTGTGCATTTAGGCAAATGTGCTTTATAAGCAAACTCTGCTAACAAAACCTTGTTTTCTTTGGCAGTCTATTCGAGCTTTTGCTGACTCGTCAATGTCATTGGCTCTTTCCAAGAAGTGGCCACTATACTTGAGCACCAAAAACACTATTCTTAAGAAATACGATGGGAGGTAAATTACCTTTGTTGGAAGAATTAGTCCACATTCAACTATCAATTCTGTATCATTTATTTCTTATAAAGAAAGAGAATTGTTATTAGCACTCTAAAAATCTCATTCTACACTCCAAACTTTCCATATTAGGAAAGAAAAATACACTTGTGAGGAGTGTAGAATGAGATTTTTGGAGTGCCAATAACACTTCCCTAAAGAAATTATAAAAAATGTTGAGTTCTTTGACTGCCACAGGTTCAAGGACATATTTGAGGAGGTTTATGACGAGAAGTGGAAGCAGAAGTTTGAAGAAAATTCTATATGGTTTGTACTGTTTATCATAAACACTATTCATCCAATGTTGGGTCGCATATTTTGAAATTGCTAATTGAAGATTCTTTTGGCATTTAGGTATGAACATCGGCTAATAGATGACATGGTGGCTTATGCACTCAAAAGTGAGGGTGGATATGTTTGGGCTTGCAAAAATTATGATGGAGATGTCATGAGTGATTTGCTTGCTCAAGGTGCTGTTGAATTGCTCTCTCTCTCTCTCTCTCTCTCGCTGCCTCTCACCATCTCTCTTTCTCTCTCTCCCCGCCTCTCACCATCTCTCTTTCTCTATTTATCTCTCCCTTTTTTTTCTGGAGTTAAATAGTTTATTTTCCTTTTTGCAGGATTTGGCTCTTTGGGCCTCATGACTTCTGTGTTGGTACGTATCACCATTAACTTTCCTCATTTTTATGCTACAAAAGCTAACCACAGTGTGTGCAGTTGTCTTCAGATGGCAAGACAATAGAAGCTGAAGCAGCTCATGGGACAGTAACTCGTCATTTTCGGTTACATCAGAAAGGACAAGAAACAAGTACAAATAGTATTGCTTCAATATTTGCATGGACACGAGGCCTAGAACACAGGTACTGTTTGCAAGCCAAACTTCACTGTATCTTAGTATACTATGGTTACATTTCGGATTAATGAAATGCGACAATGTGCTTTCCAGGGCAAAATTAGATAAAAATGATAGGTTGCTGGATTTTGTTCGCAAGTTGGAGGCTGCATGCATTGAGACAGTGGAGGGTGGGAAAATGACCAAGGATCTCGCCCTCTTGATCCATGGCCCCAAGTAAGTAGATTCTTGGCCCTGTTTAACGAGGTTACTGACATTCGGTTGGATTGTGCAATAAAAAAGGAAGTTGAATTGCCACCGTCCAAAAGCAATGGAATAAATTAGATTTTTTCCCTTAGTTTGCTGTTTAGGACTCTGCTGTATCTGTCATCTGTTCATGGTGACTACATTAGCCCAACGGGATTGTTATTAGGGGGACTAAACTAAGATGCTTGCGTTGCCTGCAGGGTATCGAGGGAGTACTACTTGAACACCGAAGAATTCATCGACGCTGTTGCCAAGAATGTTGAGGAAAAGCTTCTGGAACCTGCAGCGGTTTAACTAGGTTGATGTGAATCTACAAGATGAGCATGTAAGATAATTGCTTCAGTGAGAATTTGTGCAGTTTTGTGGTTATGACCGTGCGGTTCATGGAAATTTTTTTCGTTATAATCAAACATTCAAATAGAGATTTAAAATTTCCGAATGGAGTAGATGCACAGAAGTATGAATTAGAATTATTAATCTTTCAAATACTTTGTATGACTGGTGATCATCAGTAGCAATAAGAGAACCTGTTCAAGAATTCTTAGTTCGTTCAATCTTTCTGGCCCTTGAAAGGGGTGAATAACCGTGGTATGCCACTAGTTGTCTCCCTTTTGAAAAAAAAAAAAAAAAAAAAAAAACTGAGTTGAATATATGTCATATTAATTTTTGCAGCTTATTTATTTTTTCAGACAAGTTATTGTTCGTAAATTTGTATGTGTGATGCATCTAGTTGACTTTAGTTTTGGTCAAATATTTTTAGGGATTGTTTTGCAATTTTATTAGTTGCTGGGCTTGATGACAAAAAATCATGGTGTATCTGCCATGTGAACATTCAACTCTCATTTTTTTTAGTTTAGGTTTGTTTCGTCTGCCGTATATGTGGCGGATTTAAAATTGTGTGCTTGTGTAATTAACTTTATACTTGTTTTTGAAAATTATCTTTAGATTATTGAATTTGTTACTGAAAAATGTACCCATGAGACAACCTTGTATTTGTTCTTGTTTGTTAATGAAATCACCATCGCTTCTTGTCAAAAAGATGAAAAAAAAAAGAAAAAAAAAAAAGGAAAACTAATGAAAAATGTGGTTTTTCGTTAAAATGAACAGTATCGTGGACTTTTCGTTAGAACTCCAAAAAAAAAAAAAAAAACTCTCATTTAGATCTAACAAGAATATTGCCAAGTTGTGTACATGAAAAACTTATTGAAATATCAATGTGACAGTATCCTGATTGCATGAAATTTCTTTTTTTGCCGACAAACATCTGGAGGGAAATTGCTTCTTTTTTTGCCGACAAACATTTGGATTTTTTGCCGACAAACATCTGGAGGGAAATTGCTGGATGAGGATTGATTTTGTGTGACACTACGCAACCCCATGAACATGACCAAGACATCGGTATAGTGATTTAAGGTAAAACTTGTCGATCTTGGGCAACAATCGACCTCAGGCGTTAGAAACGAATCTTGTGGCTCACAAACAAAAAAAAAATTAATGAAAAAGATTTAAAAACTTCAAATTTTAATCAAGATAAGTGATTTTTAGAATAAAAATATTATTTTTTATTAAAATAAACAATACCAAATACCAAAAATGTTTCGTTAAAGTTGTTTTAAAAAAAACCACTACGGCCCACAAAAACTAATAAAAAAATCGAAGACAGACGTGGCACCTCCCAAAATCATATACCTTTTTTGCCCCTTTTTATTGGTCAAGCTCCCAGCTACATATACTTGCACGTACGCTGTCTGCAATTTTTCAGACACAGAGAGAGAGAGAGCCGAGAGAAGAAAATTGTGAGGAAATTCAAAATTTTAGGGTTTGTGAATTGAGTGAGCGTTATGGAATTGACGAAGGCGAAGGAGCTCGTGTCGACCAATTCGGTCGTCGTCTTCAGGTTCTTGATTTTTCTCGTTAGAAAATTAATCGCGATTATTGATTAATTAATCTCGTGTTTAAGAAATGCTAATTGTTATATATATATGTGTGTGTGGATCTGTAATTGCAGCAAGACGTATTGCCCGTTCTGCGTGAACGTGAAGCAGCTCTTGACTCAATTGGGAGCATCCTACAAGGCATTTGAGTTGGACTCTGAAAGTCAGTTTCACTTCCCCTCTCACTATTATATCTGTATTTACATATTGTTTGTATCCAATCCATGTGTGTGTATATGTATGTATGCATACGAAAATAATCAATAGAAAAGAAAGAATCGGAATTGATCGATATATTTCTCGAAATAAACGAAAATTGATCGATATATTTCTCGAAATTATCGAAAAGGAAATGAAAGACGAAATATTGGTTAAGAATAAGAAAGAGGAATCTCATGCAAATACCATTGAATAATGTTTGATCCTATGCATGGGGATTGCGTAAAATTTCATTCCAAAAAGAGAAGGTTCGAAAGAATTAGGTATTTTCGGTATTTGATTACGGGGTGGATTTTTCTTTTGTTTGCTAATTACATGTGATATTGATAGCCAGTCAAAATTTGAAACTCGCTATCGCGTAACCCGTATTGGATGTAAAGTTTGCTTTTGAGCTTCCTCATAAATGTGTTGTTGGAAGAAGTCAAATTGTTAACTGGAAATTGGTGTTTTTATGAGTTCCATATTCTTCATGCATAATGAGACTATTCGGCACCCTCTGCACCCTATTTCCCCTTGCGTAGTTTAGACTAGATTAGAAAATCGCTCGACTGAAAAAAGCCGAGAATATTTACTATTTGGTTAGAAACAATTGACTAGCAATGTGGTGATTAGGTCAATTAGATTAGAATTTAGGCCTCAATTAGATGGTGTGCAAGATGACGTTTTTTAAGTGTCAAATTGCCGATGGCAGCACCCGTTATATTTTGTAAAATGACATAGACATCTCCCTTCTCCATCTTATGCAGTATGTGTTATTTTTCGAGTATAAATTTTGTCCGAGTTTTATGGATGCCGGTTTTGTTCTCCGGTTTGAAGGTGACGGAGCTCAGATACAATCAGCTCTGGCAGAGTGGACCGGCCAGCGGACTGTGCCCAATGTTTTCGTTGGTGGAAACCACATCGGTGGATGCGACGGTAAGATTTCGAATCCCTCAACTGCAATGGATTCTTAGATACAACCGAAGATATATCCCGATTACAGAGCAGAATCTCTCCTTAACCATGGCTATTGGAATAATACTATATGATGTCGTCGTGCAGAAACAACGGCATTGCACAAGGAAGGAAAACTGGTCCCTCTGCTAACTCAAGCCGGAGCTGTTGCCAAAACTTCTACTTAAAAGGAGTTGACAATTGGATGGATGATTAGTAGTAAAGTAGAATAATTTCAGTTATGTGCTTCAGTTTGATCTGTTAAACAATTTCCGAACGTAACGCACATTCAACTTGAATTTGTATAATCTCCGTTAGTATTTTCGTGTTTCGATTCGGATACATCTGTGCTTGAATTTTCTTGATAATGGGTCGATTCTTGGTCATCACCGGATGTGAGTTTTCGGGTACCCGGGAAGTCATCATCTGTCTTTCCGGTCACACCATACCTCGTCCTCAACATCGATAAGAGTGGGGAAACCATTTTGACAAGAGGTAATGTTTTAACTTCACGATTAGGGCAAAGATACCGTAGCAGGGAATGTGCATCAATCCCATCAAGAAGTACCTGAAATTCAGTACGTTATTAGACTAAACATGCAGTTAAGACCTAATTAACGGGGCGTAACGCCGAGTGGTATAACAATGCGTAGCGAAAACATACCACAACGGTGCATATGGCGATGACAAGTCAAGAAACGGGTACGGCCACCTGCAACAAAGTGAACTTTGACAATCTTCTTCCATGACATTAGTAATTCCAGTTCCTGAGTTGTGTACAAGGAAGGGTTAACGAACGTTACCGTACTGATACGCAAGCGTGGATGGTCCACTGGAAAATGACGAAGACACCGGTCCATAAAATGAAGTAAGATATCCGAACAAAGGGGACATGCTGCAGAAGTTTGAAAAAGTTGGAACGCGGAATAAACTTTCAGATATACAAGTGCAAAGTGAGAGAAATTGCTCATGAGAAAATACCAAGCAATTCAACATTGCATCGCCGAGGAGTAAAACAGCGTTAATTGAATGCATATCCACCGTCAGCTGAAATAAACTGAACGTTAACAAAAAATTATAAACCTTAAGCTACGAAATATGTGGTAAGAGGATGGATATGAAAATTTGTGGTACTTACGAAACTCATTTTGTAATCTATGATGGTGAAAAACGGAAATATGACGAGCCAATAGATGCAATCAGTAAGCATCACTGCCCCGGCACTCATCTGCAATTCTAAATTGAATAAAACGGAAACATAAGGGACTTAAGAGGCAAACAAAGCTTTGCATGAATTAATCGTTGAGCAAAAAGAAAATATGACCTCGAACATAGCTTCAAAGACACGACTGCATTTGGCTGCTGCTCGGGGAAGACAACTTTCGTCTTGGGGACTTGAGTCTTTCTCCTCATTTTCAAGGGGAATGTATGTTCCATTTTCTGCATCTGTCCCGACATGATCATAATCTCCTAGAGTTCCCGTGCTGCTTGTTTTCTTGCACCAGAAGCACCCGTAAACGGAGAGAAGAGATCCAAACTACAACGAAAGTGAGAAGAAAACAAACAAAATCTCAGAGCCCAGTTAATAGAGAGCTGTTAACAATTGCATCAATTATAAAATGCGTAGACACTGGAGATCTCAACGAAAACATTAAGGCGATTCAGTAGAAGGCTAAAAGAAGATCAGAGACCATACCCCGAAGTAGATGGTAACCAAGGTAAAAGTCCACCTGTTCAGCATACAGAAAAAATTTACATCCTTGAGTTCAAAGCATCATAAAAAAGAACATTTCCTAGCTATCCGGGAACCTGATGTTATGACTGAACAAATGTGTCCTACGCTGCTCAAGAAAGAGACGAATTGAGTTGCAAACCCGGTTGAGTTTTCACATTTAACTTTCGGTTGTGAAGGATCTTTAGATGACCTTAGAATTCACTACATATCACTAGATGAGCATAAACATAAGACGAGGCTTACTGAGTATAGAAGTAAAATATGCGACTGCCAGCGATAGCAATTTTAATGATCAGCGTTGCCAAAAGGAGAGAGAATGAAATAACTCGGTAAATCAGCAGCCAAACGGGATGAATTTCTTTGAGGCAGGGTCTCCACGCTTCATCGCCACAGAAATCCTGGCTTATGTCCTGCTGAGCATCTCTTCTGTCAGATTTTGAATGGTCTTTACCATCATATTTCCATATCATTAGGAACGCTATAACCATTGGCACAAACACCCAAATTGCGCATAGCAAGACTCGCCAGGTCAACCAATAGCTCAGGGTAGTAGTATCAGCAGCAGTACCCTCTAGCTGCATCCTGCTAGGACAAACGACGAGTTACTTCTAAATTTCTCGGTTGCTGCATCGTCTCGTAGTATTTTTTTCAAAAAAAGTACAATGTAAAACGAAAGAATCCACGCCCTCGACTTTGAATTGTATACAAAACCAAAAATTGCTAATAAAACATGACTGTAAAGGTGGAAACAAAAATAAAGGGCGACCCCAAGCCAACAAGGCTCTCCGCTTTGCGAGGGTCTGGAGAAGCTAAATAGTTAACATTGCTATTAATATGCATATGAAGATTAAGCGATATCGCTTAGGACCCTGACTGGAGGGATAAATGTTCTTAATCACTCGAGCTACAATTCCCTTGCGGAGATTATGCGATCTTGCATATTGAAATTAAAATCATGATGAAACATGGTCTATCTTCAAATAAAGTCACTGCTTTTTCTGATTATTTTAATAAATCAATAAGAATTACAGAAATTTAAATTAAATCAACTCATAAATCTTCACTCTCTCCTAATGTTACGTCATATATCAAGAGAAAAATACGTTGAAACAAATTTTATTGGTCAAAGCAGAAAGCACGAACTAACAACAATGTAAGAAACAGAAAATATAAGCAAGCAGCAAGCATACCTGATTAATTAGTGAGAGACGGATTAATCAACGAGCTCAAAGTTTGGTTCTCGCTTTCGGGTCGTTTCGTTTGGTTGCCGAGAGGAAGCTGAGATGCTCAAACAGCAAAATCTGCTGCAACCCAATTCAGTATTTTCCTTCAGTTTCTCGGCAACCAAACAGATATTAACACCCGGAAACTAAAAAAAACCCAAAGAAAATGCTTCTCTCTGTCTCTCTCTGCTGAAACCAAGTGTAAATACAGACACCGTTTTGGTGACGATGATGATGTTCATTGGGAATGAACGAGGACCCAAAATTCAAGTCGGTTGACTCGGTTCTATCCACTACATGCTTCGGTAAAAAGCACCAGACTTTGTCTGTTTCATGGGCTAAAACCTACAGCCCAGCCCAACAGAAGGCCCAAATTTCCCAGTCCTCCCTAAACCTACGAATCCAACCCTCTCCCCCAACGCCTTCTTCTTCCTCTCGGCTCCTTCGTTTCTTCACTGAAACTGTAAAGCAGAAACGCAGGTTCCTTCCGTCGTTTTCTTCTTCTTCCTCCTCAGTTCTTCCTGTGAACCCAGTCCTCCTTCCGCTCCGGTTCTTCTGCTTCTTCTTCTTCAGCTACTGTTTGAGGGGTTTCATATCACCATCTGCCCGATTGAAAAAAGTAAGCACATTCTACTTTTACTTCGAACTTTTTGACTATCTTCTTTCTTCTGTTATTATTTTCGACACGACGATATTCTAAACTACTTTAATTTGCGGCGTAAGAATTTGAACTTGGGTATTCTAAACTACTTTAATTTACAGCGTAGGAATTCGAACTTGGGTGCATAAGGCCAGCCACACTTTTAGTTGCTTGATAAAAGACTGCCCCTTTAGTTGTTATAATGCTAAATTTTTTAAATTTGTAATAAATTTGTTTATACTTACGAATGTCAATTTATATTTAAAATATTCAGACCAGGATTAAGGATGTTGCCTGTTAATCCGACAAAGAAGCTGTCTTTTACTCGGTCCATTAATGATGGAGATTTGGTCATTGTCTATGAGAAGTATGATACAATGAGGCTGTCAAGGTGTGTGTCGGTTCTGTGCTCGAAAACCGGTTCGGTTTGTTTAAGCATTCGGACTGGATAGGGAAGCAGTTTGGTTCCAAGGTTTTCAGCAGCAAGGGCGGATTTGTTTACTTGTTGGCTCCGACACCCGAGCTTTGGACTTTGGTTTTAAGCCACAGGACTCAGATTCTGTACATTGCGGACATTAGTTTTGTGATCATGTTCTTGGAGTTGGTTCCGGGATGTTTGGTTCTCGAGTCGGGGACTGGGAGTGGATCTTTGACTACTTCACTTGCAAGGGCTGTTGCTCCTAGAGGACATGTCTATACGTTTGATTTCCATGAACAACGTGCGGTCTCTGCTAGGTAAGAACTCGAGATGAACACCTTGTTTTCGTTGTTTCTTATGGTTTTGGTGTCTGATGGTTTCTGTTTACTTCGGTGTTTCCTTTCATGTACAAGATTTGTGTATGGTTTTGCCTTCCAGAACATGCAAACTTTTAGTTTAGAATATGAGTTGCGAAGTAAGTGGATGAATCGGGTAATATGCTAATGAATTGTGAAATAAGCGAGCGATTATTTTCCGTGTTTCTTATGAATTTGGTTTAAATTGGTTTCTATTTGATTGGGTGTCCCCTTTCGTGTACAAACTGAAGACAATTAGATCAGCTGCCCATGAAACCAGCGGGTTCTGAACTAACATTGAGCTATTTCCTCTACTTCAAGTAGATTATATCATTGTTGAAAGGCTAACAGGATGTTTTACTTTTATAGGGAGGATTTTGAGAAGACGGGATTAAGCAACGTGATCACTGTAGGAGTTAGAGATATTCAGGGGGAAGGGTTTCCGGATGAGTTTTCTGGAAGGGCAGATTCTGTCTTCCTGGACCTACCCCAACCCTGGCTGGCCATCCCTTCAGCTGCGAAAATGTTGAAGCAAGATGGGGTATTATGCTCCTTCTCCCCATGTATTGAGCAAGTGCAACGAGCGTCAGAGACTATGAGGTCAAGTTTTACGGGTAGGGCTCTTTGATGCAGTTATCTCCTTTCATGCTTTATGAAGTGGAATTTTTTGGACTTGCTTTGCTTCTTTCGGGTGTTCTCTCTCACAAATGTACTCACACTAAGATCTGTATCTTCTGCTTGTGTATAGATATAAGGACGTTTGAGATTCTTCTTCGCACATATGAAGTCCGAGAATGGAAATTGGATGACTTCCAGGGAGATGAAGCTGGTTCTGTTGGATCTCATCCACGTAAAAGGCGGCAGCGATCAAGTGAAGGAAGCAATGCGCAGGAAACTACAGGATCTCCCACTGTCATGGCCAGGCCGTGCAGTGAGACCAGAGGCCACACTGGCTATTTGACATTTGCAAGACTCAAATGCCTCTCATAAAGTATGCAACTGTAATCTAGTTATAGACACAGCCTGGTTCCAAATAGTTGGGATGAGGTTTCATTTTTGCTGTTTCTGTAACGTGAATTATTCTGCTGATTCGGAAATTTAGAAAATTTTTAATGGAGAAATGCATTGTCCATTTTTTGCGTTCGATCGTTTTCTCAACTTCAATCATGGACGTTTCTGGAGCAATTTCTTTTGATTCAGTATCTTAGTCGTTGTCAATATCTTGAAAATTAGTGTTTGGGATTTTTTCGTGTATCAGAAGGGAAAAGAAATCAGCCTCAAAATTGAAGTGCTGAAGGCCACATGTTTGCCTCAGCAAATTTGGTACACAGGATTGCAATCCATTCGTTCCACTACTAACTAAGCACCATTCAGTACTAGCTTACAAAACCCCTAAATCTCACTCGTCGGCCCTTCGATTTCTGATGCTGGTGAGGATGCGGGATCAATACCGGAAAGTTTGAGTAACCTTATACAGACTTATAAGAAGTTGGTCTACTCCCCCATAGCCGCCGTCATCCTTCAGTTTTGTATTCATGCAAAGGCTTAAAAGCCTTTAGCGGCCTGAGCTTCTTTCTCCACTTGCTTTGCTTCCCAAATTCCAAACCTTCTGGTCAAGATGCAGAGCACTGCGCTTGCTCTGGCTCCTTCCACCTCGTTTCTCAAACCTCCGTGTTGGAACTCTATCCCTAAAGCCACTAAACCTTCACCCTCGACGTCCTTGATACAAGACAGTTTGACTAAAGTTCACAGGCCTTCATGGCAAACACCTCTTCACACGTTTTCTTCTTCCAATGCTTCCTTCCTTTTCTCGAATCGCAGATATGATCATTTGAAGGTCAGGGCTGCTTCTGTGCCTGAGAGTGCTGACGAGGGCTCAAAACAGAGCGGGCTGGTTAAGACCTTTCAGCTTGGTTCAATGTTTGGAATTTGGTACCTTTTGAATATTTACTTCAACATCTACAACAAACAGGTGCGTTCACTGTCTTTATTCATCTGCCCTCCCCATATTTTTAATTGCCTTTTCTTGTTTTGAAATGCATGTTTTCGCTTCTTGTTTTCGTCGATTTTGGCCTAATAAAAGAAGCTAGAATTTGAAGGCCAGAGCTTGTTCATAGGTTCTGAAAGTCTATCCATTTCCAGCAACGGTCACAGCGTTTCAGTTCGGCTGCGGGACTGTGATGATTACCCTGATGTGGGCTCTTAACCTCTACCCCAGACCAAATCTCACTCGCTCACAGGTACCTACTTATTCCTTATAATTGCTCGAATGTCAAGTCCCATGTCCGACGAATTAGAATACTACATATAATACGTGGTTTCATTACTAATAGCACCGAGACTTTTTGTATAAACATGAACTAGTACGTGGTTAAATACGAGTTGGGATAATACTGGTGTGATTAGTAGTACACTACTACTCTGTCTCTTTGAAATCTTTCGACTTGGATGGCAGCTTGCAGCAATTCTTCCACTGGCAGTGGCACACACAATGGGGAACTTATTGACTAACGTTAGTCTTGGGAAAGTTGCTGTTTCTTTCACTCACACAATCAAAGCTATGGAGCCGTTCTTCACAGTTTTATTCTCTGCTCTTTTGCTTGCGGAGGTAAGAAACTTTCAGGTTCTTCTGTCTTCCTACTTGTGATTTAACCTTCAGAAGGCGGGTGCAAATCTGAGGTAGCGATTTGACTGTCAGTTTTTTTCATCATGCTGATTGCTTTGCACACAGATGCCGAATATTTGGGTCGTTGCTTCTCTTGTACCGATTGTAGGCGGAGTGGCATTGGCATCCTTCACCGAGGCCTCTTTTAACTGGTAAGACATCCCGGAAGACAAATTTATGCACGAATCAAATTTATATGCAGCTTCTTGGATTACAGTCTTCTAAAAGGAACAAGTTCTAAATGTATATATCTGGATATATAGCTCGTGATCACTGCCGAATTCCTCTTTTTCTTGAATTACAAATTTACAAGTGTTTAACTATTGTATGTTCTACAACAGGATTGGTTTCGGTAGTGCAATGGCGTCTAATGTTACGAACCAATCACGTAATGTACTCAGCAAGAAGTTCATGGTTAAGAAAGAGGTAAAACTAATTAACCTACAGCTGCAATTTCTTTATTTTCAGAATTCCTTCGTGAGGTTTAATAGTTTTGTTTTGTAATTAGGAATCTTTGGACAATATCAATCTCTTCTCAGTGATCACTATCATTTCCTTCATCCTATTGGTTCCTTCGGCGATTCTCTTGGAAGGCGTTAAATTTACTCCTGCATACCTGCAGTCTGCTGTGAGTAGTAATACTATTAAGACCCGTTTGGGACTACTTTTGTCGGAATTACTTATGCTTATGAGAGCTTTTCCTAGAAGTACTTCATGAAAATGCAGTTAAACGTGGTTCTTAATGCGCTAGCTTTTCTGTACGCATTATTTTCATTAATTATATATTGTATACCAGGCAAACCAAGGATTGAACATCAAAGAGTTATGCGTGAGATCACTTCTGGCTGGCTTCTGCTTCCACACTTGCCAGCAGGTGACAACATATATAGTTTCACACTCTCTCTAAATTAAACCGAAATTGAATTACGTGTTTCTTGTACTAAAACATTTAAGTAGTTACCGTGTACTAACAGCTTTGGCTTAATCACACGCTTTGGTGAAGTTTTCAATCTCTTACAGAATAACAAAATCCACTTAAACATGACTTCCCCTTTGTTAGAAATGATCAGTAATGTAGGCTATATGTGTAGCCATACCAAATGTAGGACAAATATTACTGTCCACTTCTTATATATAATTGCTTGGTTAATTTGCATAAGTTGTATGGGATGCAGGTGTCCTATATGATACTGCAGATGGTTTCACCGGTGACTCACGCGGTTGGAAACTGTGTGAAGCGTGTGGTGGTGATAGTCTCCTCAGTCATCTTCTTCCAAACACCTGTCTCACCGATAAACTCCCTCGGTGAGTACCTTGTATATTTGCATATATGACACATTCTTACACATGGCTTGCAGAGTTCCTTGACTAACAATGACGGGGGTTATATTGCAGGGACTGCTGTGGCTCTTGCTGGAGTGTTCTTGTATTCAAGAGCCAAGAGAATAAAGCCAAAGCCCAGTTAGTGTTGCATGCATGAATTTTAAATATATATTATATATATGAAGCAAAAAAGAAAATCATCTCATCAACTGTAAAGATTAGGTCTATGATCTATATATATTCTCATCATATATATTGTATGCAAAGATATATTTGCTGCCTCCAAAATAACTTTTATATTATTGATAGAGAACATTGTTAACCAGTTAAGCTATAAGCAGCTCAAGGTCTGTTGAGACTGCTTATAAAAATGCTAAAAGTGCTTTCTGTTAATTATAATTTCAACTGGGTCTTAATAGATGCGGTTCTAGCAAAGCGTTTAAGAGCACAATGATTATTACGTGAGTTACCATTGATAATTTTGAAACCCAAAACCCAGCTACAAGATCATCTTGATATAGCGGTTTCCATCAAAACATCTAGCTAGTGAGACTCCTATATGGTTCTTGTTTAGGAAATGGTTTCTGCATACTCCTCGCCATCTACTGCAAGTCTTCCTCCCCCTCCTCTTTTTAGCCACTAAATTGAAAAAAAAATAAAAAAATCAAAGGCTTGAATTAAGAGGAGGTGTGAAGAAGGTGAAAAAAGGAGTGCAGAAATCTCTTCCATTTTAAGGGTAGTGGTGTTATCCACACACCAATTTTAACCTTTCACGTATATCTTAATTTTCGACCGTCAGATCAAATGAATTAAAGGAAATAAATAACATAAATTAACAAAGAATGTGTGAGAGGTAAAAAGAGGTGTATGCATAGCATCACCCCATTTAATTTTCTATCCTTTTACCAAAGTTTGCATAATTGGCTCTATCCACAAAAAATTGAAGCGTTATACATTAAGGTTTCCACAATGGCTTAATTACTCTATTAGCGATGCGGAATCCTAGTACGACCAACATGGCATAAGCAAGATCTCCATTTATGCATATTGCTTACTTTCTAGGCACTTTACGTGACCTCAGAAATCCATCACAAGAATTTCTAGCTAAATATAAAACCTCCTACGTAGATTATGGTTAGCAAATGACTACATTTTAACATTTATAACATCAATAATAACAATTGTAACAATAGCAATCACGGCGTATATAAATGACATATCGATGACATATTCCTATTTTCTTTAAGTACAGTTATCCGCAACCTAAAAAACCTCTATAAATAAATAAATAGCAAATTTGGACAAACATGCATAAACAAAACCAAACTGAATTTAAGTTTGAAAACAACATCAACAACTGTGTTCCAGTTAAACTATCCAAATGAAAATGCTGAAAGGAAATAAAAGTCTGAACGCTTTCTAAACATGAAAGCCTAATGACGCACAAAAACTGACAAACATACGAAATAGCTAGGGGAACACCGACGACAAAGCACTTCCTGCAGCTGCACGAAAGTCGAAAGCTCACACATTTCCCTTGAAATGGAGCATCTCCATAATATCCAGCTCTTTCTTGACATGGTTATCATGTCCCTGCATAAAGTTGTTCGTCTCCAGTGGCAAAAATGGCAGTTCATACGCCATGTTGCAGCTCGGATCCTTAACCCTAGAAGTGCTGCTGCTCGCCATTCCCTGCTGCAGGTATCCACCAAGCCCATAACTTTCAAAAACATTGAACATGTTAATCTTGTCGAAATCAGAAAGATTAACACCAACACCCATGTGGTTGTTCATGTTGGACGCCTCACTGTCAATAGGTTCGGGACGATAACCCATGAGATCCCAATTCGCAGAGTTGGTCGCGTCTGGGCTCTCGACAATGTTGTTCTGATCAATGTGCATCCCAGACTGATGATCAGGTGAGACCACAGACGACAGCCCGGCTTTGTTCTCCGTTGTTCCGGTAGAGTTAGGGGAAGCAGTAGTATCGGTAGCAGTAGTACCGACCAAGCTCCTGATGTAGTCCTGCAAGATGGAGCTCTCATTGTAATTGTTAATGTTGGAGTCCTGCTTGTTGCTCTTCCTCTTTGAGTTTTGCTTCCTCTTTGTTGCATTCCAGTGGTTCTTAATTGTATTCTCCGTCCTTCCAGGCAACATCTTGGCGATTTCTGACCATCTATTCCCGATTTCCTTGTGGGCTTCGATCAGTATCTTGTCCTCTTCCTCGCTCCACATTTCTTTCTGCAAGTTTCAACACAGATTTAATTAGTTGCGTTCACGCACTCTATATAACTGTATAAGTACATACATACATACGTACATACATATATATATACGTATATGAATATATATGCTTTCTAAAAGATAATATATAAAATTCAAAAGCTGATTTGATATGGTACACAACAACTGTATTAATTTAAACCAACGTTATGCACCAGCTAGCTAGATTTGATCTGTAACTGTCAATTTTCTGTTAACACGCACGTCCAAGTAGAAAACAATGCACGTACTTCCTATGCTCATGTATGGTCCTAGGGTTTTGTTTTCCCGGTTACAATAGTCCTAGGGTTTTAAATAGGAAAACTCAAGATGCATGCATGCATCGTCTCCTTAGTTCAATACCATCAAATCAGAGAGGAAGCAATGAAAAAAGGGTGCAACAATTATTTGTTACAAATCAAAATTAACTTAATACTTTTTTTTTTCATCATGATAATAATTAACATTTATATATGTGAAAAAGTAAATTACAGAATTTAAACTTCATTATAAATGGTTTTTGATTGAAAAACTTCATTATAAATTACATAAATTCAAAAGTCACTACATATTTACAAAAGAGTAACTTATTGCAGAGTAAATTTATATAAATAATACATAATAATTCATATATTTTTATTATTTTAGTCATTTTAAATTTACTTATTTGATATAAATTCAGACTTATAATAAAAAGGTAAATAAATTTTAGGTCTTGAAATGGGTTCGACTTTCACCCGATTTTGGTCCAAATCGGATCCTAATAATTTATTGATTAAAATTGAAATGAATTTGAATTCTGATATATACGCATAAACCAAACCTGACATAGGTTGTTTCGGAAATGAATAATGTTAGAGAGACTATCTGTTTAAACCATATGACGTGTTACTGGTAATTGAATTATTACTTAAATATTTGATTAACGTACCTATTTTCTATTAGTGACACATCACATGGTTTACAAATATGATCTAAAAAGATGACCTACCAAGCATTTTCCTTCGGAAATTCATAACGTGTCATGGTTAATTATTATAGTCTAATTCAAATTCTGCAATCCAACCTAACCGCTGGTTGAAACGCATGTTAATTTTTCATTGTGAAGCAGATATTGACAAATACTGGATAGTACAACGTCAATATAAACTCCACAAAACGTATAAACGGACATATAAGGTAGTGTATGAATTTTATATATTTTATGACACGCGTCAAAATATTAGAATTACAGTATTTTCTAATAAATATATTGCCAAATATATGCAAATGCCATATATGTATTAGCTATTATCTTTGTCTACATTAACAAAATATATGTATTTGCATAAATCTTTTGTTTTTTATTTCAAGGAGAAACAAAAATTTAGTGAATGAAAATGAGCTATACGCATGCTTGTATGTAATTTATATGTTAATGAAGTTTGTGAAATAGTGAAGAATTAAGGGAGAAAAGGATGAAACCCTAATGTCAGGCCGCAGATGGTTGTGCCATCTTTCTCTACATTGCTTTCCCACTCTCCCAGTCAGCTGAGTTGCAATTTGAGACCACTTCTTGATCCCAAACCTCCCAACCAATTGCACCAAGTGTCTGCAAAGATAGATTTAACTGAGTTAATTACCAATTTTTACAGATTAAAAAAAAAAAAAAAAAAAAAGACCTCTTAATAATTTAAAAAATAAAGATAAGCATATCATATATCCTCCAAATTCTGAAAAATACATGAAGAAAATATAAATCAACACTCTGATTAACCAAATAATCGACTAAAATCAGAAAAACAAAATACCTGTCTTCCTCGGGACTCCATTGACCTTTGATTATATCAGGTTTCTTCTGAAGCATTTTAATGGCTCTTCTTGCACACAACCTTTTGTTCTTCTCATCAGCTGAGAATCTTCTCCCAAACTCAATCTCTGCGATGATAGAGTTGGATGACACATCATCCGAAGGCAAACGCATCGCCGGAACTGATGAGGACCCAAATTCACCATAATTGACCAGTTGTGGGAGCTGCACACAGCTCTCTGCCCCCATCTGCTGGTCATGAAGAATTTCTTGATGATGGGGTTGATAACCCAAAAAGCCTCTAACACCACCATGAAATCCATGCATCACCACGGATTCGCTTTCTCTACAATCGGATGTCATGAAATCATGGTGATGATGATTTGCGGTATAAGGTGAAGGCTCAAAGGGATTATTAAGGGTGTTGCATGTGGTTGAAATCTTGCTGAAAGGGTTGGATGAAGAACTGGCCTCAGTGGTGGTGAAATGATTTATCTTTGGAGTGAGATTGTACTCATGGGAATGAGAATTCCAGTTAAACCCGTGAATGGTGGAATTGGGGTGATGAAACAAAGCCTTGGGAGAATTGGGTGGTGGTGGGGAAGATCTAGAGACAGAATAAATATTCCCATTGATGGTGGTGGTTTTGGTGGTGGTGGAAGGAGGTGGATCTCTGGTTTCATCAATTTCAGAGGGTTTGAAGAATCAGAGAGAAGGGTGGAAAGGAAAGGAAAATTATCTAATTCCCTCAAGTTGGTTTCCAAGTACTCCATGCAAGCACAGGGAGAGAGTTTCAGAGCTCTAGAGAGAGAAACAAAAGCTCAAGAAGGAAGGCTGGTTTAATGTGTGCTAGCTGCTCTATTTCTTGGTTTTTTATTAGTGAGGTTTGAGGGCGAGCAAGGGCAAATGCGATGCGGACCCCACTGCTTCTCTAGCATTGTAGGGCCATCTTTACCATCCAAGGGCTCACATTTCTTCCAGTCTGTGTCCATTGAACTTCCCTACCAATAGTTTTTTCTCATTTTTTTGAAACAAAAAATTGAAATATTTTTTTTTTTAAATAAAACATAAAACATATATAAGGAATAATCATTAGGTCGTTAGACTGGTCTTGTATTTTAGGGAAATTCCAAGACAGGTTTGTGACACATGGCGGACATGTATTGTTCATGATTCTGTTTTATGACGTGACATATCATATTTAAAATAATGTGTTTCATAGTGTACTTAGTTTTTATAAAACTACAGTCGTCGATGGAAAATCCAACGGTAAATGCCAACTAGAAATACGCTCAAAATAACACCGAAAATCTAATTGTATACCTAAGAGACGAGCGCCTCCCATTAAATCACTTTTGCATAAATGACATATTTTTTTTGCATATTCCAATTAAGAAAAAACATATTTTCAGCCCCTTTTAGATAAATTGTAGCTTTAAAAGCTGCATTTTAATTATGAAAGAGTCAAGTAGCCAGCTAGGAGCCAAGGAATTATCCTTCTTCTTTTTTTTTTTTTTTAAACAAATTATGATAGTATATACTAAGGGGGATGGAGGAGTGGGCTAAGCCTCACACTGAGTTAGCCATAATAATATGGTTCAACTTCACTTTTGGCGAAAATCAAATATAAGATCTCTTACAAGGAATACTACAAGATCGTAGTACTAAGTGGCAGCCAAGGAATTATCTTAAAGACCTCCCAAATAATTTTACTATCAAATGATTTTTTTCATTCGTATCTTTTTCAAGAAATGATAAGGGGCTCTCTATGGACTCTCTGCCCCATCATGTTTTTTGTACAATATTTTATAACATAGGTACCAGAATTAACATTAAATTATGAGGTGACAGAAAGTCTATGAAGAGTCCCCTAGCATTTCTCGTCTTTTTTTTCACCTCATCTAGCTTATCTAAGTCGCACTTATCAATTGTAAATGCATATTAGGAAGGTGTTCATAACAAGTATATATGGAAAATGTGAATCACTTGCTTTGGCATAATTTTAATTGGCTTAAATATTGACCATACATGCATTTTGTAAGGCTCAAGTACTTGAATCTCATAGTAAAAAACATCCATATCCGAAACTTACCATTTAAAAAAAAAACAAATAGTTTTGTAATAATTCGACTCATAAAATAATAAGAAAAATAACTTACAAACTAAGTATTTGGGCAATGAAGTAATTTTCAGCTGGGTTTTGTAACAATATATTTATCTCAAGACATCCAATGCACTTCTTTTTTTTGTAACTGAAGTTTTGAATGCATCCTCCTAAATTGGTATGTAATTTAATGGATATATATTTATTTTTATAATATTTAAGGTATTACCAAAATTTTGCATTGGATTTTATATTTTCTACCGTTACGAAGCAATTGCCACATTGTTAAAGGCTATTCTCCAGCATAAAACTATTTGACTATGTTAGTTATTTATTTATTTTCTTGATTTATTCACTTTAAAAAAAAAATATTTCCGCTTCACACTCTATTAGAGAAATTTTTCAATGTGTCGGAAACACCGTCTGGTGCATCAAGAGTCATAATACAATTAGCTGGAATTTTTTTTTTAAATTTTCAACCAATTGTATCATTACACTTGGTATACAAAACAATGTTTCTGGTACACTGAAAAATCTCTCAATATCATTGAATTTGGGAAATTTTATTAGCATTAAAAATAAGTTGTCACTTATTACACTTCTTATCGTGAGGGCTGTGTTTTAGCAATAATTAATTATAATTTTAAAGTGCTTTATTTTTAGTAAAAATGGCATAGTAAATAAATTTAAAAAGTCAATTATATTAGCTTTATTTTTTGCTGTATTGAGCATGACAAACATGCCCCAATTCAGTACCTTTTGTCTCTTTAACCGCTGAAATAGATAAAGCAATATTTTACCTTCCACCTGAAATTTAACAAGCACTTTAGTTGCGATTTGTTTAGACTCAAAAATACTTTTCGAAACTGGGAAGCTTTAGTATTTACTAACATAAAAAGTAAACAAAAGGTGAAATATAAGAACTTTGGCCTCACCACAAAAAGGGTGACAAACATGAGTAGGAATGTCCAGCCACGTTATTTGTCGACATCTCTTAACAAAAGCAAAGCATAAGATGCCTTGTGTTTTACTTCACTTGACTCTACGCAACTTACGTAGTATCCGAACTTCACTAGTCATGCAACCTTACCAAAATTTCTCTCGTAAAGAGGACGTAATTTTTCTTAGTCTGTCGCCTTTTACTTCGCCTCAGCCCACCCTAATGGCACCGGCATAAGAACTACCAAGAGGATCCTCGCCAGATTCTCTTTGTGAGGATCTTGAGGATCCTCCAATCATATCCGTTCATCGTACATTGTGCGGTCAAAAATCATTGTAAATTTTTTTTATTTAAAATTAAATATAAACAATACCTAACAAAAACTGACCGCACGTTGTACGATGAACATATGTGCTTAAAGGATCCCCAGAATCCTCACAAAGAGGATCCGGTGAAGATTCTCTCTCTAAGAACTAAACTAGTCAAGCAACCACATAAGAAGTACATCATTTGTTCCTCTGTTGGGAGGAATCTGTGTTGGTTTAATTTCCCACATGACCAAATATGTTTCCAATTTTCAATCGAAGGTGAAGCAAATAATTCGAATTACGTAATTGCTTAATAAACCATCAATTTACCCTTAAACTTGTAGGTCACCCAAAATTTAGAAAGATTTTTTGTTGTGTTGAAACATAGCACGGTATACTACATGTCATTATAAAAATGTTTGAGTTCTTAAATAAAGATTTTCAATCACTTGTATTATAATATTTGATGAACAGACTGTATTCTGGTATACTGAAAAATTTCTCTAAAATTGAGACTTAAAAAAAGTGAATTTCCGTCCAATTTGCTCTCAAAAGAAGTCATATGCCAAATGTGTCAAAAAGTAAACAAACAATGAATTAGATTTAGATAATAACAGTGCTAATGATTACTATAATTAATTAAATTTCATAGTAACTACAAATTGATTACATGTAAAAATATTAATTAAAACCAGTAATATTACTCTGCTGCATATTTGTTCCCTTCTTTTTTTTCCAAAAATCCAGAGACCAAAAATGGAGACCAGGAGAGAGAGAGAGAGAGGAGGTTCAGCAAGGGTACATCAAAAACAAATGACAGCACCAGAGCAGATGGCGGTAGACGTGTGAAATTACTCTGGATGTATCATGCCCTCCTCAGCTTCCTCAGCACTGCGTTTACGTGGAGGCGACAACCGCTCCCTCTCCCTCTCCCGCTCCCGTTCCCGTTCCATCATTGATTTGTGGAAACTCCAACCACCAGCAGAGCCTCCACCTGTTGGCAGAGCCTTGCTAAACCTCTCAGGACTACGGCTACGGGCTCTATATCCTGACGCCTTGACAGGGCTGGGACTGCGGCCTCTGTCATACCCATTGGTTTGACCATACCTGTCACATACAAGAAAATGCATTTCCAACCATCACTTCTCAAAGTACTACCATCGCATGTTTAGCACATCTGACATAACGAGCAAGCAACGTAATTAAACAGCCTGAATTTAAATGTAATTATTTGACCATACCTGCCAGAAGAGGGAGTAAATCCATATCCTCCTCCCCTTCCACCATCCCTTCCACCATAACTTGAATCATTTCGCCCACCACGACCCCCATCACGACCACCACTGGGCCCAGAACCCCAACGTCTGAACCGGTTCATCCCGCCACCCCGGGAAGCTAGCTCACGAACCTCCGGGGGGACGCGCTGATTAGCCCCTTCCAAAACTTTGATGAGATCTGATGCATACTTAGCATCCTGATCACCGAAAAATGTGTAAGCCAGGCCAGTGGCGCCCGCCCTTCCAGTTCTCCCAATCCTGTGAACATAATCCTCTACTCCAGTAGGGAAGTCGTAGTTGATAACCACCCTGTAACAAAAATTACCATGACAAAGACAATCCTCCTATCAGAAGGGGACACCACAGAAAAATTTGCTTAAATAGATAGCCAAACAAAAACTAACTACTCGTTCTTAAAATGACCCTGACAAATACAATCCTCGTATCAGAAGGGAACACCGCAAAATAATAAGGATCCACATAATTCAATTGAATTGTTGCCTACTCTTGCCACTTGACTAAAAACCTTACATTTGAAAGAAAGACAGGTGATTCACCAAACCACAGAACCAACATATATTTCAATTCTAACAGAACAAATATGTGACAATAAGCTGGGAAGTACAAAACCTTATGTCCTTGATGTCCAATCCTCGAGCTGCAACATCAGTTGCTACAAGAATTGGAGTCCTTCCAGA